AAAATATCAAGAATTTCTATTGTTTCGGTTAAGGCGACGATAGGTAAAATTGAACTAATCAATCTTTGTGGGATGATATTCGAACTCATTTAATCCACTTTATTACTTGTTAATGAACCGTACACTTGCGATAGTTTAAAATTGAAAGAAATAATTCCGCGAACAAGTTTTTGGTGCCGTTGTCGGGGATTGAGTTCTGTTTAATTTTTTTTTCTAGGCACTAATTTGAAATTTAATTTTAGTTTCTCTTTTAGTTTTTTTTTATTTTTTTTTGTCTTTGTTTTGTTTTTATTATTCGATCTATCTTTTTAGTATCTAAGTGCTACCCTTATTTTTCTCTTAAATTTGCATGCTAAGATCGACTGGAGGAGAATTGATTCCAGCCGATCCTGAAATTGAACGCACTTTTCATCGACTACAAAGAGAGAACCGAGAAGCAAAATTGTAAATGGCTAACGAACTAAACAATCGTATTATCCCAGCCAATGAAGGAGAGACAGTGAATGAAGGAAATGAGATTTTGGGCGACTTCTTGACTCCTCAAGTGATTCAAAGCCAGTCCAGCATTGTGTATCCACCGTTTGGGCAAACTAATTTTCAATTGAAGACGAATGTGATATAGCTATTCCAAAATGGACATCAATTTTATGGCAGAGCTGAAGAAAATCCACATACACACATATCTCGATTCTTGGATATGTGTCAACACTTCAGATATCTAGGAATCTCGGACGATGCTATTAGGCTAAGGCTTTTTCCACACACCTTGCGGGATAAGGCACTTGAATCGTTGGATTCGCTTCCTATTGCAAGCATCACTACTTGGAACGACCTGGCTCACAAATTCTGCACAAAGTACTTCTTACCAGCCAAGATAGCTAAAATGAGACATGAAATATCCATTTTCAGCCAGGGAGAATCCGAATCATTTGACGAAGCCTGGAACAGATTTAAGAATATGCTCAGGAAGTGCCGTCAACATGGGTTTGACAAAAAGACCCAAATCCGATTCTTTTACGTAGGGTTACTCCCGTACTTCAAAAGCATGGTGGACTCATCATCAAATGATTCAATTTCTACACGAACAATCGATGGAGCACTAGAATTATTTGAAAGAATAACTACTTCAGCGATGTGGGCATCTGAGCGGGTAACTCAGAAGAAGCCTCCCGGTGTTTATGAGGTCGATACTTATTTAGCCATATCTGCGAAGATTGACTCATGGTTTCACAAGGTAGAAAGCATATCACAAACAGCACAAAATAAGCAGTTTAGCTGTGAAGAATGTGGAGCTGAGCATAAAACATCAGAGTGTCCAATTTTAATGCAAGGAGTTAAGCAGACAGATTTTGCACAATGGGGGCAACGCCAATAGAATAATCAATATGGGGAAACATACAATAACAGTTGGAAGAAGTATCCCAATTTCCCTTGGAGCAACCAGAATCAGAATAGGCCGCAGGGTCAGTTTCAACAGCAAGAGAAAAAACCTCAATTAGAAGACATGTTTGGGAAATTTATGGAGAGGACTAATCACTACATGGAGAAAACTGAAATCATCTGTAAAACCAGAATGTTGCCATCAAAAACTTGGAAACTCAAATGGGACAGATGGCCATCGTTTTGACTGGAAGAGCACAGGGAAATTTGCCAAGTAACTCGAAAATCAACCCAAAAGAGCATGCCAAGGCCATCACAACTCGAAGTGGAGTGCAGCTACCTAATATGCATGTCAAAAGGCCAGTCAAGAATAAAGAGAATACACCTTTTGTAGAAGAAGAAACTGTGGAGCAGGATGAACAACCAAACACATCTACTGCAAAGGAAAGCTTAGAAAAAGTAGGGAATAAAGAAACAGTTATAGTCAACCCATATGAACCTCCAATTCCATTTCCACAGAGGTTGAAAAACCACAAAATGGAGCAACAATACAAGAAATTTCTGGAAGTCTTCAAGAAGCTCCACATCAACATCCCGTTGGCCGATGATCTATTCCAGATGCCCAGTTATGCAAAGTTTCTGAAGGACATATTATCAAATAGACGCAAGCTGGAGGATCATGAAATAGTAATGCTAACCGAAGAGTGCAGCGCAAGAATCTAGAAAAAGCTTCCACCAAATTTGAAAGATCGAGGGAGTTTCACTGTCCCTTGCACAATTGGTGATTTTTATTTTAATAAAGCATTATGTGATCTTGGTGCGAGTGTTGACTTGATGCCACTCTCTATTTTCAGGCTACTAGGATTGGGAGAGCCTAAAGTAATTATAGTAACCCTACAGCTGGCTAATCGATCACTTACACATCCACGAGGGATTATCGAAGATGTATTGGTCAAAGTGGATAAACTTATATTCCCAGCGGACTTCTTAATTCTGGACATGGAAGAAGACAAGGACGTGCCTATCATATTGGGGTGACCATTTTTGGCAACTGCAAGAGCTCTCATAGATGTGCAACAAGGACAATTGACTCTGAGACTGGGTGAGGAGCAGGCCACTTTTAATGTTTTCGAAGTAATGAAATATCTCATCGAGCCAGAGAACTGTTTCTAGATTGATGTGATTGACATAGGAATCCCCTACAATTACGAGTTGAAGAAATTGCCAGACATACAGGAGGCTGATATGATGCACCCTCAATCCATTCTCACTAACTTAAAGGAGATCGAGGTATACACCGTGGAGTCTCAAACGGATGATGAGGGAGAGTCACACCACGTGAAAAAGGACAGGTTTGAAGTGTGGAAGATAACTGTAATGCGGAACAAGACCATATTGAACAAACTATACAGGACCTCCCAAGCCATATTTAAAGTGCCATAACACACCTAGGCCAAAAGTTGGGCTATCGACTATAAAATAGCGTTGGTTTGGAGGCAACCCAACGTTCTATCCTTTCATTTACTTCGTTTTGCAATAGTTTAGGAACTTTCCATTTTTTTAGCATTATCAATAGTTTTAGGTCATTGATCATACATCCCTATCACATGGAGTCTAGGCATGGTCTACACGAGTCTCAATGCACTGAGCACGAGTCATGAGGTTGAAGTCCTATTTTAGTTAGTCATGTGTCCAATTGAACAAAGTGCATGTTTTGAATGAAGTTTCTTTGGTGATTCACATTTTTGTGATGTAAACGTTATGTTGAGACATAAATTATGCATTTTGCACACCAACAATGTACACATGCACCTTGAAGCAAATTTGTGTGATTTGTACACTACGTAGGTTATTTCTTGCCTCAGTTGCATCTGTTTACACCATGTGAACTAATACGCATACTTTGCACTTTTACAAGATGTCACTAAAAAGAATGTCACAGGGAAAGGAGAAACACTGCGAGTTCTAGTTTTCATTCACCACCTCCATATAAATCAGGGAAGTACTCGTACCGCATCTTGCGCTTTTAGTTTATTATTGTCCTTCAGTTATGTTTGTTTACACTTTTATTTCATCTTCACATTGAGGACAATGTATTATCTAAGTTTGAGGGTGGGTGACATAATCCTGGACACGAACATCTTTTCATCATTTTGCCTATATACATCAATATATATGTTTCATAACTGCATATTATGTGCTTGATGAGTGTTAAAAAAAATCTTTGCATTTTATTCAATCTACTATATTTCCATCTTTGCATGCTTGTGTGGGCTTGATAGCCTTGTCAGCTATGATGTGACTATTGGACTGGTATAATTCATAAACTTTGGATATAGTGCTGAATAGATTAACCAATACTTGTGATGCAATACTTGACATTATATATGCACGCTATTCATGCTTGACATGTTAGGTGAATGACTGGATTTTGAGCATAAAGTAGGAAAAGAATGATAACCCTCTATTGAATTAACACCCAAACCACCTTAAGACAGTTTGGAATTGGTTGAGCTATTATAGGGAACATTGAGATAAGCGGGGGCTCTATGCATGAAATTTTATTGTGTGGATTGCCTAGACCAGTGAGGTGAAGATTAGGTGAAAATCTTAAATTAGGGGTTGGTTTTGGAAACTAAATGCTAGAACAATAAGGGCATAAAATTAATTTGTGAGAATAAGACACTTCTTTTCATGCCTTTATGACCCGAGCAAGTAAGCTTGTAAGGATATTTCAAAATCTGATGCCCTAAGGTCAACTAGCCTGGGAGTCACCAGCCTAAAGCTCGCTAAAGGGGTCATATAGAAAGCAAGAGGGAAAGAGGTTAATAAAAAGTCATCTGATCGAGCCTTTATAACTCGAGTGAATAAGCCTGCAAGGGTTTAAAATTTGGTACCCTAAAACAAACTGGTTTGGGAGTGATCGACCTAAAGCTCACTAAAGGAGTTATATAGAAAGCAAATGAGAAGATGATAATGATATTAAAAAAAAGGAAAATTAGAAAAATTAAAGAAAAGTGAAAAAAACAAAAGAGAGGTAATAACATGAAGAAAAGCCCTTGGACATTTGGTTAAAGAAACTATACCTTTAAGGCGAGGCAAGTAACCTAGTTTAATTTTGAGTGTCAAAGCAATCAAACTTAGGAGAGCTTTCAATTGTTGACATGTAAACTTGTGATAGTGAGATCAATCCAAACTACGAGAGGGTAAGGACTACGACTATGTAAATTCCTAATTTTAAAACACAATCCCGGGATAATTGAGAGAAAAGAATAAGTTTGGTGGGTTGTGTTTCTCTTGAGTGAGTAAGGATACATTTGACCACTTGGGATCGGGACTCAAATTCAGCATGAACCTGATATGTTGGCATGAATTCACACACACAGGTCGATTTGCATTTAACAAGTAAAGGTTGATGCCATTTTTGCACTAATAAATTTTTATAAAGTCAAATACTTAGTCCAATCCTGAGCCACATTAGGGTATTAAGTCAGGTTTGTTCAGAATTAAGTTACTATCTTGTTTGAGGACAAACAATAGTTCAAGTTTGGGGGTTTTGATAAGTGTGTTTTTGCACACTTATTTAGGTAACAGACATGACTTAATAATGAGGAAAATGATTAAATTGTGACTTAATCTTGTTATATTTGTGAATTGTAGGGAACACCGATGAACATGGTGAAATTCAGTAGAAAAGAGCCAAAAAAAGACTAAACTGGAGCAAAGTGATAGTTCGGGGACCAAGTTCCAAATAATCCATAGATAAGATGGGAAATGGAATGAAGATTCAAGAGTGTTAGAGGTCCATCGGATGAGGAAAGGAGTCAAAAGGTGAAATATGATCGAAGTATTATCAAGTATCAACTTTCAGGCGAAAAAGCGGTGCTCGTGATTTTTAGTCTCTACTTGAGATCCATTAGTGACATAGTAAACATCAGAATTTGAGGAAGTCTATTTCTATCAAAAATGTAAATCTTTGAGTTTCCTTCCCAATCCACTTTGAATCACTTCAATCGGTGATCAGGAGAGAAAGTTACGACCAAGATACTAAAAGCTGTTCAGCGGAAAGAATGGTATAACTATGCGATCGCATAGTATAAATTCTATGCGGTCGCATGGAAGCCTCCCGAGAATTTTTTCTCAAAATTTTTTTACTCAATGCGACAGCATAGAAATGTACTATGCGGTCGCATAGAACAAGATTCGGGGACCATTCAGCAGTTTCCTTATTTCGCCTAAACTCTCATGGAAAGGAGATTTTTAGGGTTCTATATAAACTAAAACTCGACCAGAATGATGGGACGCCACTTTTACAGAAAAAGAGGGGGAATATACACAATTTTGGAGGATTTGGAGAGGAAGAACAAGGCAAAAATAAGGCAATCCACTTCAAGATTCAAGATTTCACTTCAAAAATCAATTGGGTGATGTTCTTCCTTGGTTTTGATTATTTTTTCTCTTTATTTCCCATTATGTTAGGCTAGATTTTCATGTGCTAAGATTTGCGATGAACCTTATATTATGAACCCTTAATCTTGAATTTTATGAATTTGACGTTAAAACATGTTTTTAATTATTGAATGATTGGCATGGATTTTATTTTCTCTACAATTATGTGCGCAATAGTTGTATGAGCTTTGTGGCTTGTTTTACCCTCGAGAGATGGAAAATAAGTTAGAAATTATGTTAATTATCGTAAAGTTCGATAGGGGATAGAAATATACCGCTATGCTTTACGTGATCTTT